GTTGGAAATTGTTTTGTAACAGGTTCCAATTTCCCTCTTTTTACTCCTTGCTTAATTTTTTTAAAAAAGGGATTCTCTTATTTTTAGTAGAATACAGTGCAACTGAATCAAGACTCAAAGCAAATGGTATCTAGAAACTTCAGGAATTAAGTGTGAATGATTCATTCTCTAGTGTGAAAGCTTTTGAAATAGGAATGTTAAAATAGATTCCCTCATTAAAGGTCCCAAAGTTGGGAGTCAGTACCCAATGAAACGCAAAATTAATAAAGGCCCCAGGCAATGACAATGAATTTACTACCAAGAAAAAACCTCCTGGATTAAGGCAGATTTTTGTGAAAGTGGAATATTAAAATGGTTCATCTCCTTGATCTAAAACTGGGAGCAAATCTTAATGAAAAGATGCTTGGCATTCTTTTTTTTTTCTTTTTTTCCCAAACCAAGAATATTTCATTAGATACATAACTGATCATTTGTGATCGAACATTTAGTTAGTTTTTCTCCATGCCTGAGAGAGGGGAGGACATCGTATGGGTGAGGTCAATCTACTCCAGAGATTGGAATTTATGACCTAATGCCCCCACTTCCAGTCCGATTGTCTCCTCCCTGCCCACTACCGCTCTCCCCTGCTCACAGGGGTGGCTTATACTGGGGAGACTGAAGTTCAGCAAGACAGTCCTCTGAGATTAACCCAAGGAGGATAGTGGGGTGGAACATGTGAGCTAGTGAAGGAATGGAGGGTTTTGATGATGTAGGTGGTTTGGGAAATCCACCCCCTGAACACCTCTACAATACATTTCATTCTCCCTCATTCCCAGGTCAATGTCTTCACAACCATGGAGACTCCTACAGGAAAACAACCGAGACTTATTTTTCATGTCTGTCCATCATACCATTCCCAACAAGTCTCTCTGTTGAATTAAATTATGAATTATGCTTTCCAATTCAGGGATAATTCATGATATAGTGCCCTATAGTATTTTTCATCAAGAAAAAATGTATTGGGGGTCAGAGGTATAGCTCAGGGGTAGACTGCACTGCATGCTTGGCATGCACAAAGTCCTGAGGTCAATCCCCAGTGCCTCCGTTAAGAGGAGAAAAAAAGAAAAAATGTATTGAATAGATTCATATGAACTACAAAAGGGACCACTGTCCCAGGCCATGTCACACGATGTAGAGCAGCTACTCTAGATTTTGAACATGTACTGCAGGGAAGAAAAGTTGCAAGTACTGCTTATCAAACCAAGCAAATCCTTTCCTCCTTTTCATCAATGGCTCTCTTCTCAGGGGACTATACCTGGCTGCCTTAAAATACATTTTACTATTTATAGGAGCCAAGCAACTGCAGTGTCTTTATCCTTCTGTTCCTCACTCTTGTTTTTCTGCCTGGGTTCTTGTCTGGGTTCAGTTAGATGTTTCCCCAGAGGCGCAGTTCTTTTAGAATGCTGAGTGACTCTTTTCTAAAACTCATTATCATCCTAGTTTTTACGTAATCTTTGGGATCGAGTTTAATTGTTTAATAACATGATATTTCCCCAAATTTGATGGCACTCTTGTAAAGGCAAAAGTAGGTAGGCATGGAAGTAACTCTGAGCTAGGCACATACATGTATTTTTCTCCCCGGACACAGGCCTTTGTATTCACGTCAATGTGCTGTATGTGCTTGTGTTTGAGAACTGACCAGACATAGAAAATTAGTGCTAATATAAAATAAAGGTCATAGGAATGAGCTGGGAAAATGAGAAAAATAAAATGTACAGAATGGCATAAAGTAAATAAGGAAAATGGGTACTGGATAATAGAAGTAAACAAACTTGCAGAAATTTTTTTCTGCTCGTAGAAGGTTACAAAAACCCATCACTCCATCCCTTGACAAAACTACTGATAATACTTAACAATTTCTTTCAAGGAATTTTAAATTCATATACCCATACATACAAATTATATTTAACATCCTTATCCATTTCCCTAATTAATACAAGGTTGCTTTCAACGTTTTCTGTAAATGAACTTGTAGAACATCTTTGCACAAGAATTCTTTGTTCAAATTTTGGATTGTTTCCTTAGAATTGATCCTAAAAACTGTAATTACTGGGTCAGAAGGCAAACACATATGTAGAACTTTACTTTCTGGAAGGGCTGTTCCAATCTCTACCACCACCAGATATTGAAAAACATGCTTTTTAATATGAATTTCTTTGATTATATGAACATTATTCATATGTTAATTAGTCATTTTGATTTCTTCTTTGGTGATTTTTATATTCATGTCTCCCTCTTTTTAATGGAGGTAGTGGGGATAGAACCCAGGACCTTGTGCGTGTAAGCATGCGATCTACCATTGAGCTATAACCCCCTTCATGCCCTTTTTATAAGGAAGTCTTAAGATTTAATTACTATTTGTGTGACCTCTTTAAATACCATGAATATTAACAGGTTGTAGTTTTGCTGCAAATATTTTCCCCAATCTCTTGCTTTGTTTTCTAATTTTATGAATGTTTGATCTTAATGTTTTAAAATTCCATGTCCCAAAATACATGTATAGTTTCATTCAGAATTTCTACCATCCTTTTTAAGTTCAAAAAGTCTTCTTTTTTCTAGAAATCAAAAAGATAGTAGTCTATTTTCTTCTATTGCTTTACAGTTTGAGTTTTTGCATGCTTGAGCATAGCGGGTAGGAACACAGGCAACTTTTATTTGATTACTGGCTCCAGAACTTAGAAGCTGAGTAGCCTTGATTAACTTCTTTCAACCTCAGCTTCTTCGTCTGTAAAAAGGGAACAATTATGCACCAATTATCACAGGTGTTGCTATAACGATAAAATAATGCCTGGAAAGTATGTTTAATGGGGTCTGGTACATACTAATGCACAATAAATGGTAACAATTATAAACATTATTATTTTTGATATATAGTACAAGATAAGAGTTTAACACGTTTTTCCCTCCACATGGTAAATAGCACTATTTATTGATGAATCTTTCCCTTCCTCATTACAATGAAAGTGATTTCAGCCTATACTCTGTTCCTGTACACTCTAACACCTGTTTGTCTTTCCCATTGACATGGCAGTGTATTTATGTGCGTGGACCACACTGTTTTAAAACTGTAGCTTTATAACATTTAAAAATATCATAGGAAGACCATGCATATAGGAAACAGAATTCTTTTTAAAATTGTCATGATTATTTTCTTTTTTGTTTTTTTTTTGGGAGGGGTAATTAGGTTTACTTATTTATTTTTAAATTAATTAATTAATTAATTATTATTTTTTTTTGGTGGAGGTAGTGGGGATTGAACCCAGGACCTTGTGCATGGTAAGCCTGCACTCTACCACTGAGCTACACCCTACCCCTGTCATAATTATTTTATTTCTTCTCCTCACATGGATTTTAAAGGTATATTATAATTAAAAATTTTAATTGGATATTGTAATGAGAATACATAGTTACATCTCTAAATATACAATTTGATAAATGCAGGAAAACATTTTTACATGTGTTAGTAATGTAATAGATGTAATTTAATGGCTTTGATTTTTAGATAATACAATACTTTGGCTACAAGAAGAAATGACGCTATTGGGGTGCTAGGGTGAGAAAAGCAGTGTGAAGTTGTTAATGAATAAAATCCAGATTATAAAAGATTTCCTTTTTTTTTTTTTTTTTAGGGCATGGCCACAAGTAACATAGTTTATTATCTGTCAAGTGGAAGTGATTCATGGCCACCTACGATATGTAAATGTTTTTATGCAACAGCCCTGAACATCTGATTTGATGCAAAAGAAACCTATGTAGACGTCAGGTTTTCCTGGGAATCACTGAGAATCCTTACTAATAGGTGATGAAATTATTTCTTTGTGTTTACCACTGCGGTGGTGGCATTTCTGTCAACAGCATCACTACAGTTTAAACTGCTAATGGAATTATTTTTGTTTTAATTTCAGCAATAAATATATCTTTAATAACACTACTAACCATTTTGCTGTTTCACAATCATTAGAATCACACATTTACAACAAGGATACCATTATAATTTTCTACTACCCAAGGGATGAGTGTTTTTATGTTTTAACTATAACAGTTTTGGTCCTGAAAATTAATTGTAAGTGATAAATAACAGAATGTCTGTAAAGACTTAAATTTTCTTTAATAAAATGGGTCTTTATATCTATAATTATGGGACTCAAGTGCTCTAATAAAGTGATTGTCAGAGTGTGAAAGGAAAAGTGAACACCTCTTCTAAACTGTAGGTAAACCGTTAAATAGGACATTAAACAGTATTTGCAAAGGATTATATTCAATATAAAAGAGCACTACAAAATGCGTTAGAGTTCCTAGCTTCATTTTTTATCATTCCTGCTACAAAAATTAGGAGGTATACAAAGAACCATCTAGAAGCTCATGGAATTCAGAAGGACTTATTTAGAGAAGTCTTGACATCCACTTGTGAGGAGAATTCTGGAAAGACTTAGAGACACTTGATGGGTTTTTCAGAGCTGGATCAAGGGGTACTTGTGTTGTCCACTTTTTAAAAATTAGGAAGCATTTCACATATTCAAAAAAGCATAGAGAACATTACAATACTGAGCTCTCACCACTCAGTTTAAGTAGTCAGCGTTATAAATATGATTGAATAGTTTTCTTCTTTTTTTTAAAATGAGAAATCTACCATTGAAAATACAGGATATGGATGTCCTAGAATTTCCTTTTTCAAAGTTCACTCCATCTAACATGTTCATTTTTCCTTTGTTGCCACAGAGATGCCGGATGGATATAGTTGGCGAAATGCTCTAGACACAAATTGCCTGAACCAAAGATGGCTAGTAACCAGCAACTGCATAAAGCAAATCTAAACAGTAGAGCAAGATTGTTCATATTTTAATTACTTGGAACTAATGAGCAACTGTCCTCGGCACCAAATCTCAAGGCTCCTTGACTTCATTCTGAGAAAAATGCTTTTCTAAACCCAACAAAACAATGGAGGGCAAGAACCAGGTTACCTGTCAACGCTGAGCGCACAGAGGTTGAGGACGGTGATCCCCACTGAGGACTTCTGCAAAAAGGGGAACAACTTGCAGAGAAATACGCCAAAGTCATTGTGATCAAAAGGCCAGCGGCCAGCCAGCAGCTGAAAAAGGAGACAGCGAGTAAGAAATGGCAAGCACAGGATACACCGACGTTTACACTTCTAATCAGGCTTCTGAACATCTACGTTTTATCATTCATCATCCTTTTCAGTTAGTGTGGTAGCAGTAGAGTATTATCACCATTAATTTTTTTTTCATATTTTAAATTCTCAGCAATTTTTTAATCCTGAAAGATGTGGAGCATTGAGATAGGAAAGAAGAGGGTAGGGCACAATCATTAAAAGAATGACACAGCAATCAGCACCAAGATGCAGAAGATGCAACTCCCAGTAGACCTTAAGCTTCAATATACGCTCATTAAAATATAATAGCATGTTAAATGGTACTTCTCCAGGTGCCATGCCAGTCACAACAGTTTCAAGGCTGACCACAAAAGGCCAAAAAGTAGGCGACGGCCCAATTCCTGGGAATCCGAGCCCCTTCCCCAAAGTAGTTGGAATAGTCCTCCCACTTGTTAGCATATGAAGTTAGAGCCCATAAAAACTAACAACCCCACCTCTCTCTGTCTCTCTCTGTCTCTCTCTCTCTCTCTCTTCCTTCCTCTTTCCCTCTCCCTCCCTCTCCCATGCCCCATGGGCTCTCCGGCAAAGAGGAGCAACAGTTGGGGGTTTGGATGACAGCTTAACCAAGAAGCAGGCAGTCATTTCTGATCAATTCTTAGGAAACCATGAGTAACGTGAGTCATTTTCAACTCGTGCCATTGGGAGATTCTATTAACTCCTGACAAAGAGCCAAATCTCCGAACAAGGTGTTAGGGAGAACACCAGGAAAACGTGGTTTAGGAGGTACTGACTTTGCCAGGTGGTTATCACCTAAAGCCACTTGGAACTTACTTTTCCTCCATGCTTAACGGGCTGCCACTGCTTCTGCAGGTGTGATACCAGTAACCTATCTTGATTTGGGCTCAGAATTCCCTTATCGTAGAGGAAAATGTGGTTACTGTGATCTGTTTGTAGCATTTGCAGGAACATCAATTCTTCCATGTTGACAATTTAAATTTGTTTTTCCAAGGAGAGGGTGAGTACCCTCCAGTGGCTGTGGTAAGTAGCAAGAACGTTAATCTTCTGTGAGTTGCTGATTATTTACCTAATTAGGTATTGCACTAGAATCATGGACTTAAATAATAACTCAGTTACCTAAAAGATCGAAGGAAGTCCCTGCTGAATATATGATGCCTTTTCAAGAGTACAATGGTATTGATTTCCTTTCTCATTTTTGCTCAGTGACTTAGAATTTAAACTTACTCTACTTAATAGGAAATAATACTGTACTAACTTGACAAATTTCTCTGGCTGTCTTTTTTTGCAAAGTGCCTATTGCCATAGTAACTCTAAGTTGACCTTCCAATTTCATTCTGCCGTGTCTAAAGGTTGCATGAGGTTTATTTCCATAGTCGACGTGCTCATTAACGTGAGTCCATGGAAAAAGGATGAGAAAATCAGTACCCCAGAAACAGAAAATCAGAATCTATACATTTTGAGAATTTAGTAACACAGGACTCTCTAGAATTGTATTTTTATGGCTAAGACCCTTTATGACTTAATTTCAGATGTTCTCTCTTTTTGCCTTTCAAACATATTTCCTTTTCTTTTGAGTAATTCTTCTAAAAGACCTTTTTCTTCAATCCAATTCTGCCTCTTTTTTCTCTCACTCTAACCAGTCATGGTTGGTGTCTTCTCAGAATTTCCACATAAACTTTTGTCCAAGGACAACCAGTGGGCTCTTCACAAAAACGCTGCCCTAAACTCTGACAGTTTTCATGAAACTAAAAAATAGTTATACCACTGCTGATTGCTAGTTATTAATGTTTGATGCAAGTAAAGACATAAAACATTATTTCTGGGATGAATCACCCTCTATAAAGAAAAGAAAACTTGAAAAATTACTTTTTATAAAATGAGAGTTTAGTATTTTGTTCCAGAACTGTAATTCTCCACTAAAGACTAGAAAGATGTAATTAAAATGTGTTGGGATTGTTGCAGGATGTTCTTTGCAACAGTTGAACAACCAGTTATGGTTCATTTCCGGAGACAGAGGATCCTGAAATCCACATGGATGGATTTCCCAATTCACTCATCCAATAGTGAGAGAAAAGAAAAGGGTGTTTCTGGCTTAACAAGGGAGACTCTGAAATCCTGTGAAGGTCTAAGTAACAAGTGCTAAGAAAAATGATCTAGAAAACCCACAACTAAATATGTGTTGTTTCAGGTCTTTGCAATCTCAATTGAAATTTTTTTTTCCTTTTTCATGTTTGCTTAAACTTTTAATTAGGAGTAGGTGTAATGGAAGGACTCTGGGGAAGTTATTATGAAATTGGTGATCATAGAATTGTCTTTCTTTGACACAAATAGGTGTTTGGTTATTTTTATTGTTCTTTTTCTTCTTCTTTGCCAGCATTGATTCTTCTTGGGAATTATACACAAAGGAGAATGAAAGAAATCATTGGGGGCAATTTTTAGGTACAATCACGGTGTAGACCTCCCTGACCTATGTCCGCTTCATTCTGAAGGGATGTGTGGACAGTAACTGTTCTCATGCTGCCAGCAGGAAATTAGGTCCCTGCCTGCAGGCAACTTCGCCTCTTTCTGATTAAAGCCGGCTTTCTCAAAGAGGCCCTGCTTAACTACCCAATCTTAAGCAGGACTTGCTTGTTAACCTCTTTCATGGAAACAATGTTGGAGTAATCAGATTCAAAGACTCTTTTCAGCTCACTCTGTCTTAACAAGAAAACATATACAATAGGAAGGCATCAAAGAGGCATAGAGTAGAGCTCATTTGTTTTTCTCTTATTTGGAAGAGGCATTTTGGAGCTAATGAAAGATTACTGGAAATGCATCCTTTCTGTTATTTATTAGTGTTTAAAAATGGGAAATACAATATATAAAATAATAAAGATTAGGCTGTATAAAAACTTATATAATGAAAAGCAAGTCTGCCTTCCATTCAAAGCCCCTTAATTCCCTGCCCCAGGGCAACCACTGTTAATTGTAAATTGTGTTTTCTTTTAGAAAACCTCTTGTGTACATAAAAGCAGATCCTTTTTTTTTTTTTTGAACAACTGAGAATATATGGAAATAATACCTTTTAACCATCTTTTATGATCTTTTTTCCTAGAGCAGGTTTCTGGGAAGCAGATTTCTTTTCTATTGCCTAAAGAAAAGGTTTTGATTTTTAAAAGCATGTGGAGGAAACAATTTAGAGTGGAATAGGAAAAGATAAAGAACTGTTTAGCATAACCAGACCATGGCAGAAGAACTTAGTTGATTTCACTAATGTTAACAAGCTATTATCAATTCAGTGGAAGAAAAACCAAGCTAGTCTGATAAACTAACAAGTCAGATTAGTTTAAGGGTAATCTGGCACCTTGGAGCAGTAACAGCTTATTATTGCCATGAAAGGGTCTGTGCTATTATGTAACCCTCATATTTATAACTTCCAAGGGCATTACAGAGTCCCTAGTACATAGTAAGTGCTGAATGAATTAATGAGTTCAGCTCATTAATATTGGGAAATATTTTCACACTTTGAAATTAGACTAAGACAAATTTTTCCCCAGAAAACACATTCATCTTATAATTTACTTTCTATTTTAAAGTCATTTAACAATATCCGAAAGTAGTGTTTCTACTCTTATGTTGAAACAAACAATGCACCTGCCAACTAGTTATTGGAGGAGGTGGGAGACTACAGTTCTATCAAGAATCTGCGAGAAAAGGGGCTGCCAAACTCTGCCTGGAGACTCCTCATTTGGTGCAGTGATGAGACTGTCCAGCTTGCTAAGAGCTACAGAGCAGGCACCTGGAGGTGACGCCCCTCCTGTGGTTCAGTCAAGCTCTCAAGTGGATGCTAGAGGGACACACAAAGCAACCGAGGCAGCACAGGGCAACCTGCTGAGGGTGGAGTTTGCTCTAGGACACTTGCCATGATCCTAGCCTAGGGGACTTTTCTTCAGTTGAAACTAAAGTTCCTGATCTCCACCTGAAAACTCAAGTATAATAAATGGCACAAATTAAGGATGAAATTCTGTATTTGTGTGGCTGATTTGGATTCTGTCAAAATCAGCATCATGAAGTTGACAGGCTGTATATATTTTTTAATCAAAATAGATTTACATAAGGACTTGTCTCACACGATACACTGACAAGCATCCTGTTTTCAGAATGACTCGATCCCAAAGCAGGATGTCTGGCCACCACTATATTTAGTACAAAGCAGTGTCTACTTGGTTGGGACCTTTTAGATCTGTGCGATGTACCTATTGGTGTCAGTTTTCCAAGACACATCTGACAACCAGAAAGTAAGCAAAAACGTAAGGTGTCAAATGGTTGATGTGAAATTTATACCCTAAATCTCGCATGCTTTACTCATGGGCAAGCTGCCTGAGCCTTCCCTACAGGTTGAGTTGTTTCCACTTTACACCCAGTTTTATTGTTCTTTTTCAGTTGTTCTGTTTTTTGTCCCTTGTACATCCAAAGCTGATCGTTAGTAGGAACCCTCCAGTGTAACAGTTCTCAGACTTGGCTGTACATTAGAATGACTGAGGGAGCGTTTGAAAATCCCAGTGTCCAGGCCATTCCCTGAGACAAGAGCTCTTCATCGGGGGTGATTCTGTCCGCCAGGGACATTTGGCAACATCTGGAGACATTTTTGGTTATTACGACTTGTTGGGAGGCTCTAGTGGGTAAGAAGAGGCCAGGGATGTTGGTAAACATCTTGCAATGCACAGGCCAGGCCCTCTGATGAACAATTATCCAGCCCCAAATATCAATAGTGCTGAGACTGAAAACCCCATCCTGGGCCAATTAAATCAGAATCTCTGGACTTGGGACACAAGCCCAGTAGTTTTTAAAGCTCCCAGGTGATTCCAATGTACAGCCAAGGTTGTGAATCACTCTTTTAGCAGTGCTGGAACCATCTGGAGGGCTTCTTAAACCACATCACTGGACCCCACCCCCAGAGTTTCTGATTCAGTAGGTCAGAG